ATAATAATAATAATAATAATAATAATAACAACACTAACTCCTTAATGCACACGATTGTGAATATCATTACAAGTTATTTAATGGATATAGTCAATAGTAGCATTCCAACCATAATAAACAGCATCCAAATATTCAATCATCTTTCTTTAATAACATTAATGACAGAGCAATGATATTAATCATACAACAAGGAACAACAAGCGCAACAAGGAATTAATCATTCTAAACGGGAACGCTAATAACATCACAATAAAAAAAGTCAACGGAAATATTTCTTAATAGATAAAGGAATTCCAATCGCATACATCACCGAAACGCACCTCAGTGCAGACAAGACATTTGACGTACCTGATTACAACATAATAACAACAGAGTAAATCAAAATGTGGGAAGAGCACTCATACTCGTTGAAAAATCAATTTCTTACATGTAAACTGACACACTTCACACCCCAGGATTAGAATTTCAATTCACACCCAGGATTAGCCTTTTAATATCGCTATTAAAATCCCCGTATATAAAAGAATCACAACCGTAATATCAGCATGCAAACCACCCCACATTAAAATGAAAAACACTAACATAATTTCTTTCCTTCTACAGAATACGCAAATGATTCTATTAGGTGATTTAAACATGTAAACTGGGGTTGCAGAGTTTCCAACAATGCAGGCTGTCAACTACTCAACATAATATCTTAATGAAACTTGAACATACTTACGCTATACGAACCTAATCACTCCCCACACGAAAGCAGCAAACATCCAGATATATTAGACATTACAATTACTATCACGAGTACAGTATAACATTCAATCACAGTATTCGAGTTGGATTCAGGCGATGTTGCAGTATTAATAACCACCAAAATCACACAAAGACCAAACACCCAAAACATAAATTGGGAATCATTTAGGAAAATAACTAAGATCCAAGACACCACAATTCAGAATACTGAACTCACCCCTAGAAATAGAAAAATCTGTCATGCAGATAAATGAATTAATAATAAACACAATAAACCCACATATTCTATTAAACCGAGAAAAAAAACTACCCAAAGAAATAATAGAAATAATCAATACACATAATAAAACTATAAGGCTATGGAGCAACAATAGAATTCCAGAACTGAAAAAAGAATTAAATCTCCTCAATTAAATATCAAGAAACGCAATATACATACACACCCAACAATCCTCCGACACCAAAATAAAATCATTAAATACCTCAAATAAATCGCTATGGCATAATGGGGTATCCCTACGACGTCCCTCAAAAAATAACATTCATTTCACCTGCCGAAATCAAGAATATCATAAAAAAATTGCCCAAAAGGAAAGCACCTGAACATGACCTAATTAACCACCAAATATTAAAAATTCTACTTACACCCAAATTGCAGACATAAACAACGTCTATAATTCATCACTTATAACAGACTATTTCACAATAACTTGGAAAATTTCAAATATAATCCCGATCCCTAAACCAAACACAAATCACAGCCTCGCAGCAAACTATAGACCAATAAGTCTCCTCGAACTCACTTCAATCATATGTGAAAAATAATATTAAAAAGACTCAACAATCATCTAAGGAAGACCGAAGCTATTCCAAATCAATTTGTCTTCGGAAATCACACCTCAATAGAACACCAATTACTAAGGATAACTGAATACATTCACACTGTTTTTTAAGAAAATAAACACACAATAACAATACTCCTAGATGTATCTCAATCTTTCTGGCAGACAGAATCTGGCACCCTGGATTAATCTACAAACTCAAAACAATGGGAACACCGATATATACATTATCACACGATTTGTATCAGACAGATCTTTCACCATAGCTCCATTCCACGCACAATAGAGACAGGACTCCCACAAGGCTCACCACTATCCCCAACGCTATTCAATCTTTAGACAGCAGACATCCCCATCACACACAACTTGCTCAGTTCGCCGACGATACAGCAATATTCGTATCAAGTCGCACGCCGACACAGAGCGGAACAAAAAGTCAACATTTAAACAAAGTAGACGAATGGGTAACAAAATGGAAAATAAAACTAAACCCAAATAAATCAAAAGCAAAATTATTTTCATTACGACTATTGTTCCCCATCCGTTACTGATAAACAATAGCCAAATAAACTGGACACCATCAAATCAACCAATCAAATATCTAGGACAAAATCTAGACACAAGACTGAACTGGAAAAATCAACAGGCCAAAATCAGATTAATTCAACTCAAACCAATAGTAAATAGAAACCAAACATTCATTAACAAGTGCAATTACACTCTATAAAACTATCTTAAGACCCTCAATGCTATCCGCAAGTTCCATCCGGACAAATGCCGCTCCATCCAACGAAAAGAAAATACAAGTAGTCCAGAACAGATTCCTCAAAATTGTCACTAACGCCTCGTGGGAAATTTCAAATTAATTACTCCATAGAGAAATAGGCATGAACTCAATCACTCACCAAATAGCTCTTATCCAACAACTACTCCAACATAAACTCAATAGATCAACTAAAACAATATATTTTAGCCTCAACGTACAACACACAAACCAGAATAAACAACAGATACCCGTTCGATTCCTTCCTAAAAATTTTCCCAAACAATTGTGAATAGTGGGTACTCTAATGAGGAATCTACCCCATTTGTAGTAGCAATAATAGAATTAGGTTAAGCATAGTTTTTAAGTTAGACGTAAGTCAACAAAACATATGCAAGAGAGATAAATGAAATACAACAACCTTGAAAGTATCTATAAATCGTTTCCGAGGCAGGTTTCAGACTAACGTGGTTGGCCCTCTACACGACGACAACACAAAGTGCAGTGAAAAATATCATAAAAGAGATTATTTTTTCTAATTTGTGAATTAATAGCTTCAGAATTTCTTTTTATAACAGCAGAAAATATTTCGCACTTGCATTCCTAAGATTTGGCACCAGAAGTCAAAATCAATTGGATCTAATTAAAAATCAGGGAGTCACTCGTACACTGAAATATACAGCTTCTGTAAACATTAATAATAACGTTAAGAAATGTCTGAGAAGGAATAATTTATCACACACTCACATACTGAATGAGTGAACGGTAAATGACTTAGTAAGTATAAATTGCGAGCAATCGGTGGCACCCTTAGAATACTCATTGTGGATCCATCTTGTTCATCAACATTAGGAGAATAAGAGTATCACTGTACCGTAGATTGTTTTACAATCACGTGAATAAACTGAATCTCTTACTTGGCCTTTTCCAAACTCGAGAGAAACTCAGATTTCGTAGGGAGAGTGAGCACGACAGCTTGCGCCTCACCTCTTAAAACCATTTCGAAATTTAATTCTTTCTGTGCTATATACCCGCGGATCTCTTCGCTTTCGTAGCTTTGGTCAGTGTAGTGAGTCGGCGTCCTCTTCACAACCTGGCGTTTGCGACCTCCTTATCTCCAGCGCGTCATCCAGGACTTGCACTGAGAAAAGTACAAGCACATGACCCTGCTCTTTCAGTTTCTGTAACCTCATAAATTACTCGAATTACTATCAGATCAGTAAATAATTACCATATCGTTAACTTGGACATATCGCACCAGACAGACATGAATCAACAACGAAAGTATTTACAAAATTCGGAAAACCGTACAGAATCTTAACGAGACTTCCTGGGGTGTCCATTTTGTTTAAGCGTTTACTTACGTTAACGATAATTTTTTTCGTGTGAACAATTGATATCCCCATATGGTCGCAATTTTCTGATGATTTTCTGATAAAGAGCTATAAAAAGATGATGACCAGTGAATATTGCATTTCACTCAGAACCTTCGTGCGTCAGTACGTAATGTAGTACATGCGATGTCTGCTAGAGCTGCTTATTTTGTGGGGTGATTAATTTCTCTTCAAGACAAGTGCAGAAAGGCTTCCGGTATTACAGAAATCAAGAGAGATTGAATACAAAGTTCAACACATTACAACGATACATTACAAAGAGAGAGAGAAATACCTTCACTGCAAAGAGAAAAATTAAGTTAGAAGACCGATTCCCATACTCTAATAAACTCCGTTAACTGACCACGTATACCAACGACCATTTTTCTCTGTGATAAGGATGCCATAAATACCAATGGAATTCAGGACATTCGAAATCTATTTCAGAGCAAGTTGTTTATTTTAATACAACCAAATAAAATATCCTGTAAATCATATAACAAGAAAATAGTGTGTCAAGTAAACAACTTAATACACAGATCAAGATAAATTACAGTACACACTTGCAAGAGTATCAGGGTAACCACTCTTTTTCTAGCACGAATTTCCCTGCCTTTTAACGGTCAGGTCATTTTCTTACTTTTCCATTGCAAAATTTCTTAAGTGTTTCATGGTATTTATATATTTTTTTAAATTTGTCGCGTCGTTGTTGACGCAATGCGTCTCTTGAACGCTGAGCGTTGGACGTTGAGCGTTTTTCTTGCAATAATCCTTCGTTACTATCTTCGTCACGTCGCAGTCACTCACTCATGACTTCGTTCGATATTAAAAAACTTATTGACTGAGTCCTTTCCTCATATGCATTCTAGATTCTCTTACATACACACATTGTGAGAGAAACAGATGCACTTCGTTTCAAAAAACACACAGTACCTTTCTTTATCTATTTTTCAGCTTTCTGATTGCCCTCTAAAAAGAAAAAAAATACAATATTTGCTTAACAAAGGAATTAGCCCCTTGCATTCTCTTGCGTAGAGCATCATTCTGTGGTGTAGTTTACAAGTGGTCCTAAAACGCATTTTTGTAGTACTGTTTGGAATTAGAACAGAGTATACAAATTCAGAACATTTGGCAGAAACAAAGAAAAATGTGGAGGGACAGCGAGACACATGTCGATATTCAGGGCGTATGGCAACCCTACTCCGGAACCGGGAGTGAGCTCTTAAGACAGGTTACACCCTGGTCTGTTTGGACCGTTGATTCTCCTCGTGACGCCGCTTCCACCGTTTCCGACGGCTGCAAAGATTTCCACCCGTTCGCTAAGTGCGTGCAATGCGCGTCCGCGGCGCCGGCCCGGATCCTCGGCGTTTCCGCGCTGAATGGCAGAGCGGCGCCGCGGGCGAGGCCAAGGCGCTGGGGGGCGGAATCGGGCCGCCGCCTCCGGATCTGGAGCGCCTCTGGAGCCTCGGCCTGCTTCGGCACCTCGTTGCACAGTTGATAGCAACTACGCCGACAACGAAGTAACAATAACAACAACAACAACAACAACAATAATAATAATAATAATAATAATAACAATAATAATAATAATATTGCATTTTTAATAACATGTGATGACATTTAAATGCGATCGTAATAGAACTAATTACCTTTACTAGCATACCACGGAATTGTACTGATTTACAGATGAAATTGATTGATTGCTATTGGTATTAACATCGTCTTCATAAATTGAAAACTCACATCTTGCATTTAATTACGAAGGTGCCGACTCTTCATTACACACAGCGCTGCTAAAGATTACGCTGTATCTTAGCCATATTTTCTAAATGTTTATTATGTTCCCCAAGAAGTGATCGCCGCTCCGCAATGTCTCTTCGCCTCTATTGTCGAGTCGAATTCACTGCCCATTTATTTCCTCCTCCCAGTCACCCATCCAAGTGTGTTGTTGCTGAAACTGCGGCGGTCGCAGTGAATTTCGCCGCGCCGTCGTGACCGCATCCGCCGCCTCGCGCTTCAAGACGTCCAGCTTCCGGCACGCATCCCGTCGCGCACCGTTTCCACGCCGCGGGGGGGGGGCGCAGGACGGAAGAACGCACGTCGGGAAAGCACGCGAGGGCCGGTTACCGTTTCGCCTTGCGCCCCGCCGAACTGGCCCCGTCGACGCGAAGGCCGGGCGGGCGCCCGGGAGGTGGCAGAGCCGGGCCGACCAGCTGAAAGCGAACGGATTTGGGCCGGGCGGGCGGCGGACGGGAAGGCCCGAGGCAACGCGGCGGAGGGTCGGCGACCGGGCGGCCGCGCGCATCCAGCGGGCCCGCTTTCTCCGCCGCGCCGCGCCGCGCCGCGCCGCAAGGGCAAGGCCAGCTCATCCCGCCTTCGCCGCCGTCGGCGCGTCGCGGGCGCTGGGGGTGGGACTGCTGCAGTCGGCTTCCGTTCCACAATGTTGGCCACATTCCAAGTACGACAGGCCTAATGGATGCATATACTGAAATAGCAAAAGCAATATAGAAAATTCGCCTGCACTCAAAAAATTATATTTCTTCATTTAAAAAAAATAAATACTTGTGGTGGGTACTATTTTATTTATTCAAAATGGTTTTATAAGTGAACTGAACAAATGTAATATTTTTGTAAGGCTAGCTTCTATTCCAGGAAATCATATTCAGTTCCATATTTGCTTCAAAATGTTCCAGTAGTTTACTCTCCAAGAAAAAATTTACTTGTTGTTTTGTAGTACATTTTTAAACGTTAATATTGTCAGGGTTCTCGTTTTGAATATTATCGATTTCTTTGTATTGATGTCTATGCTACTACGTAGAAAACTAGTGGTGCAACTCTCCCATTCGAGTTAGTTTTCTAAAATCTTTAGCCTCGACTAGCTGTTCGGTCTTGCCCCATTCTCTTCCCATCTGCTACCTGTCGCCACCTAATATACACACTATTTTTTTATACTTTCGTAATTTTTCGGTCTCCTAATGATAAAATTGAAATACACCGTAGGGAATATTAAAGGACTGTAAAACCCGGCGCTAAAAGAAAATTTTTCTTGGAAAATTGTCATTTCTAGAAAATGTAGTTTGAGCGTTTATGAAATTGCGCAATTTTGAGCTCATTTTGACAGAAAACTTTTGAGTTGTTGAAAAAATTCATTAGAAATTATTTCAAGCACTTGTACTCACAAATGTACAATGTATAAAATGAGTATTTTTGAGAAAAACGTATTCATTTATTGCACGCAAAACTACCCACATTTTGAAACTAGTGGTGGTATTACTTCTAAATTTACAATTTTCGAAAATTCAGAGAGTTAATCGAAAGTGAGACCTCCAGCATTCTTTTAAACGTCTCTTATTTTATCCGTTGAATACAAATTGACGCGGTTATTCAAAAAATGCTATTTTTTATAAAATGTATTAAATTCAAACAGAAACTAAGCATGAACGACTCTTTTTTCGAAAAAATTGTACATGACCTTTTTTTTAACAGATTTTGTAGGACAGATTTTGTTTAAGGCAAAAACTATCTGCATCTTTTGAAATGTTCATTTTTTGCAATTTTAGTCAATACACAGTTCGCTGAAAATGATTCCAAAACCTTTTTTTAACCGTCTTATAATACATATAAAGAGAAAATGTAAAGAATGAAGTTTAAACCATTTTTTGATAACATAATTGCTTAAAACATCTTAAAAAGTGCAAATATTTCGCACAAAATTACGCGAAAACTTCTCAAATTTTCGAAACATTTGTAGTTGTACTTGTATTTGTACTTGTAATTTTCGAAACACATGTACACGACCTCATTTCAGAACTGTCTGAAAATACATATTTCAATAAGGAAAAACTCTCTATATTACGTATAGTAGAGGTAGAAAGACACCGATAAAAAATTTGAACTTTTGCAATTTTCGAAAAATTAGGGAATTCAAAAAAATGAGACCTCTACCATTCTCTTAAGCGTCCTTTACGCAAAAAGGTCATTACTCTAAGGACCAAGTTTAATTAAACAATTTGGAGTATTTGTTTTAGAAAATTTCGAAAATGTTTTTGAGGCTTAATGAAAAGTACCTCCAAAATCAAAATATGTTTCAATCTCAGAGGACTTCGAGTTCCTTTAAATTGAGTGAAGAATATCAATTTTGAAAAGAAAAAAAAAACAGGCTGAACGGTTTAGATCTAGTGTTAGATCACAGACAGATGTTTTGCCATCAATCAATTTTTCGATATCAAGGACCCACAAAACATAGATTCTGACTACACATGTTAGAGGAGGCAATTTACTTCATATAGGAACAAGATTTATTCAACTTTTCGTTTCCAAGTCCTGGCAAAAAGTCTCTTCTTATGAAGGACGAGAAAATAAAAAATTGCGAATGACTTCGTTTAAAAAAGTAGTTTTCAATGTCATATTTCTTTAAAATAACTATATCTCTTAATAACTGCAATTGTAGAAGAAACGGAGAAATTTCAAACGTTTGTAATTTTCAAAACTCAGAGAATTCATCAAAAATCACCATTTTTATAACCGTACATTCTCTATCCAATACTAATTCTCGTTTAGAGCTATTTTTGAGAAAAAATTGAAAATTAACTTGAGGTTTCATGTACAGAATCTCCAAAAATTAAAATATTCGTTGCAAATTATGCGAAATCAGCCATATCGATCGGGGAGTATTAGTGTTAGGGAATACCCCTCTCGCGATTAGGCGATTAGCGTTGATCGCGTTGCTAATAGACAGGTGGATAAACGGAAGTGGAAATAGTACGATTTGCCGTAATCCAATTTTTCTGTACCAAGGTCTCGTCCAAAACATGAATTATGACTGAATTTTCCTGCCGAAAAATTATTTCTCGTGGTAACATTACATAACTTTCTCTATACTACGTATGTAGTACGTGAGAAAGTCAAACCATTTCTTCTTCTCATGTATTTCTCTTTCAACCTGAGAACAGTACCAAACAGCAGATATTCATTTTATCTGATCATTTTATACAACCTTGTCGTGATTAAATAGGATAGTGTTTCTTGATCAGGATGATTATTGAATCCATAATTCGTTCAACGAACTCATATCCGTTTTCCTCCAGTCTTTCCCTCTGCGATCCTTCCATGGCTGTCCAGTATAACAACCTTAGTACTTATTGACGTTACTTTCACCTTGTACAAACAGGTGGGTCGGTCCTTAGGATTCTCCATAATTTGAGATTTAGTATTGGAGCTTCAAAGAATTTTGAAGCTTCTACACACGAAACCTCCAGTTTCATTCAGGAAAATATGATGAACTTGTTGAAAGAAAATGACGGTACGAAAATTGGAGTAATATTTCACGAGCAGGGCCATGAACACCAAGCTTCCATTAATTTGCTACACAATTCGAGAATGTAGACCCAAGCTGACGATGCCCACTTACATCGACGCAAGACTTACATTAATGTACTTCTACATTAAATGGATCAAGGAATATTTTGACATTTGTAATTGGTATTTTGTATTTGCAAGTCGTACAATAATTATTCATACGTTTACTACCAACAAGAGTCACTGATGCATTGATATCCGTTTAAAATAACTCTTTATATACATATTCGAATGGGTATTATTCTGAAGTTCGTATTCGTCAATGGTATTATTCTGAAGTTAAAATAATGAGGCTATCAATCAGCAAGCTTCATCAAAATGCAGAAGAGTTATATTATTATGAAGGTCAACACAACGAGAGCGATATTTAAATACAGGTCTCAGAGTTACTAAGGTAGCTGCCGGTTGAATGTAGCCACAGAAAGCAAGAGCAAGTTGAACAAGTCCAAACCTCCTAGGTCACGCTGCCACGTCATGCCATTCAAGGGCAAACGTTTCGTTAAATCCCTCGTGCTGTTCACGATTGAAATCGGGTGGCCTGAAGTCACTCACTGCGAAAGATCCAGCCGCCGAGGGTGGCTACAGATCTTCGATAGTTTCAAGGTTTTGAATCCATGAATAAATTCAAAATGGACTTAACAATCCCAAGAAAACCATGTCATTTATAAAGATTAGTATTACACCATTACGTTATCGCTTTTCAAAAAAATGAAACATTTCCAATCTTTCTCTTGGCAAGGTTAGGTAAGGCAATGAAACAAACGATAGATGAATTAAATTTTCATTTATTGATTACGAAAAGAGGAACGGTGAATATATTTGAATAAAAGTTAAGTATGATGATTCGATTATATTTATAACTACGGTTCTCGCAGCAATCAGAAACCAACAAATGTTTTGGGTTCGCCATGTTATGTTGAAAGTTACAATTTCTCCTCCAATATTCGACATCCTGAAGGAGTCAATGGCCATATTTGGCTACTTTCGAGCACGCCAATATTGTCAAAAATAATGTTTCCAATAAATAAAGGACCAATGTAAATAGAAATAATGAGACACCAGTTTTCTTATCTAACATATGCTTTTCCAACATATTCGAGTTTCCTGTATTGCCGTGCGGAGACACAGAATTTGTTGACAGACTTCGATGTGTTTAAATCCAGATTCCTCAGAAACTTTCGCCACGATTCGTTATGTAATATAAAATCCATACAAAATAATATTTTCTTGTTTTTTCAAGAAAGGAAGTATATTATAGTCATCTGAATCACCATTCTTCACTTGATAACAATCCCTGAACAGCCAAAGTATCAATTTCTGTAGTTTGTCGCAATGATCCAGACTAACACGGAGCTAGAATACAAAAGCGATCGGTCCGAGGGTTCTTCCGGCACATGCGATTACGATTGCAAGGAGAGGCTGCCGCTGCCACTAGAAGGGCCCCGGGCGGGCCCCGCTCTGCCGAAAATCTCTCGCCTTACGCTCGGCCCCCCGTCTGCGAGAAAGCCCGGCTCTCCCCCAGAGCTGCTGCTTTCGCGCCAGGACGCCCGACGGACACCTCGCGCATGCGCAAGCCTGTGAAACCACACTGTGTTGCCCAGCCTGCCACTTCTTTAGGGAGGAAAATGTTTTAGACTGTCGTATGTCGCAATAAAAACGTCCTGTCCTCGCGGGCTTACATTTGATGAAGTGTGAAGAGGCGAAAGATTTTAATGAGCTGAACCGAATACAGTTTTTCTGTTTCATTTAAGATTGGACATCATTGAAAGATTCGTTCTTAATTTGATAGTAAAAATTACACTGCGACTGATAAGAGCCGGCTTCTTATAGCACACTAATTGGATACCATGGAGACACTTTTTTATTTCCTGTATTATTTTAACATTTACTATACTTAAATTGTATCGTTGTTGTTAGATGTTCGTTAAATTGTATCCTGCGTTTTTAAAATTCCTTTATCCTTAATCCTTAATTATCCTTTAAACCAGAAAAAACCTATCGTACAATACAT